TTCTAGTTGTTCATAAAACTTTGTAATTTTTTGAATAATTGTTTGGATCTTCAACTCCTAGATTAGTCTTTTACATGAATTTTTGTAAAAAACTAGGTTTGGACATAAAGTTCCGATCCAGTCTAAAAATCTTTGACGTCGGATCTTCAAATTTTGAAATGGGTTATTACAAAAATTCGTGTTGGAAATTGGTGTTCCAACCCAAAAACTTATGCGAATAAAAGAAAAAATCCATTCTCAAACCTTAGGGGCCGTTTGGATACCTGAAAATATATTGTCTTCGAAATATATTGCTAGCGTAATACATTACTGTGTAATACATTACCTGCAAATGGTTTTGTCACTGTTTGGGTAGTATTTAGATGAAACCTGGGAAATACATTGTTATTGTTTGGCTATGTCCAGAAGAAATCTGGGAAATGCATTACGAATATTTTTTTTTTTCTTTTTTGGATTTATACCCAAAACATGGTTGAGTGTACAATCCATATTAATATGTAGCTTAAACTTTATAATTGCATCAGGCATAAGAATTAGCCACACCTTTTGTATGCTTATGCATCTTGACCTGAAATCACATATTTTCAAGATGTTAACACTTTGGAATAACATACTTTTATTATGATAAGACATCATATTTTATATGTTTTATTTTCTTGTGCTAAGCCTTTTGAGCATCTCTCTCCAAAAAACTTCTATAGGCAAATTCAAAAGAAAACAAAAGTTTGGAGAAATTTGGCTAGTAACCTAGAAGGGTTTATGACTAAATGAGATGTATTGGAGGATAAATTACGTTAGGACATTGTAGGAGATTGAAGAGGTAAATTAATTTTTAAAAAATAATAATTCAAGCACACTGATTTCACGATTCTTTGTGGGTGAACTCAAACGGCCCCTTAGAGTTATGATTCAAGGGTGTTTTAGGAAAAAAATGTTAAAAAAAAAAAGAATACAAATATAACAGAAAACATTCTATGTTCCCCTACAACATAAAAGTTGTATCCTTCCCTTATCATCCAGCCGTCCATTTTTTATCAAGAGAGCCGCTCACTGTTTGATCTTAGATCCGACGTCTCATAATATTTTATTTTTAGTTTTTTTAATACAGATTTTCTGAATATGAAATTTGGTACGTGCCATCTTCTCATTGGGGCACACCTATAAAAAATATTAACAATAATTTTTTGATAAAAAATAATGGCCAAAATACCCCTTGAAACTTTCAGGGGTATGTTGGTTATTTTATTTTATTGAAAATATAAATTTTATATTTTTCATTAGTGCGAGTTTAATAGAGGAATGGGCATCCAAAATTTGGTGTCAAAACAGTTTATAGAAAAAAAAAATTAAAAATAAAATAATGTGGAGACGTGACATTTTGATTGGGCAATCTTAGCCCTCCATTAAAAAATAGACGGTTGGATAAGGGGAGGATAGATGTAAGGAGAAAATAGAAAGCTTTCACTAACAAATATATTTTAAATACGTTTTTACAAGGAAAGGCCATGTTTTTCTTTTGATGCATACAAGAACAAGGAACCTTTTTGCTTATGTTTTATCTCCGACAGTCGAAAAGTATTCGTGAGTGTCTATGGGGAAGTTATCAATATTTGGGTCCTTTGGTTCTTATAGCGCCCTTAGCATGCTCCCACGGTGCATACTATACATTAACTCGCTAGTAAAAAGGGGAATATTTTTTTATGTGAATATTTGGGATGCAACTAACAATAACTAAAAGATTATTTTTCCCAAAAAAGAAAAAGAAAAAATGGAGTTCTTCACTACCTAAATGTCGGCCTCTGAAAATTGAATGCTCCTTGTTCAATATCTAGATGTTATCTTTTCCAAGCATATAGGACTTGAGATTGGGATTTTTTTATTTTTTTTTGAGATTAATCGCTAAAGCACAGTTTGAAAAATTGGTGATCCGAATCGGAATTGCTCGATTCCGATGGGGAATCATCGATGGCAATCTGGTTCCCATCATATATCGGGAACCGTTCGGGTCCCCCTTGAATCGGTCAATTCTCAAAACCGACCGATTCTGTCAGGAATAAGGCAAATTTGTTCGGCTAGAGTCGATCGGTTCCTGTTTGAACCGGTTTGAGTGATGAAACTTGAATAAAAGTATTTTTTTAATTTTTTATTTATAAGTGCACTTTTAATTTAAGTTTTTTTAAATAAGAGGCAACAATCCATGCTATATTTTTTGTCCTAAAAAGTGGCATCACCTTCATGTGGACCCCACTAACCAATCGTACGCCCCACATGCTGATAAGTAATGCACATGCTCAACGACTCATACATATTGTGTGAGGCTTTTACAGATGTTTTTGTTTCATTCAATCTTTGACGTGGGGACAAATTTGTCTCATTTCTTCACCACCACATGAAATAAACTTTGGGGTCTCTCTTTCTCTCTCCTTGCCCCCGTTGGCGTCTCTCTCCCCATTGGCATCTCTCTATATTAACAACCTGTATCTCTCTCTCTCCCCCCTTGGCATCTCTCTACAAATAGTCAATTCCACTATAAGTATATCTCTCTCTACTAACAACCACTTCTAATACTTTGGTTCTCTATAGTTTCTTTTAAAAAGCAAAACTCTTGAGTTGATATCAAAAAATAATAATTGAATAAGAGATATTCCTTTTATTATCATGTTGCATTTTAAGCTTTTACTATAAAATGAATTTGATAGACAAAAAGTACTCAACATGAGACATGTTATCAAGATTTATATATTTTTGACACAATAATGAAAAACTTTAATACAATTGGCACTGGTTTTTTTAGAAACCTAAAAAACCATATTTTTTAGAAATTATAGTGATTTTTTGAAATTTTTTTGAAGCTAAGATTGGCCAATTTTTCGATTGGGATTGCCACTAACCAATCCAAAATAGATTTTGAGGTGGTCAATTCTGATCACCAATCCATTTTTTTTAATCCTTGCTCAAAAGATTACATCCCTAAAATATGAGGTCCTACAAATATTCCTTTGTTTACTTGAGGGAGTAATGGATGACAAAAACAACATTTTTTTTTCTTTTGGCACTGTTTTTTAAAGGATAGAATACTAAAACACCATGTATCTTTGTTACAAGGAGGCTACAATTGTTACTAGCCACATTTATCTTTATTACAAGGCAGCTACAATTGCTACTAGCCACTATATGCTAAATTGGATGGGCTCGACCGCCACAAAGTTTGAGTTTGTTTTTTAGGTTACCTTTGAGTCTAATTAATGACACACTAATAATTACCAATTTTAAATTTGATGGACAAGATTGATTGTGACCTCCTTGTTTAAAAATAAATAGTCTCATTGCATTCTATTTCTTGATTGGGGGAAGGTTAGTTGATGGGCTATTTCTCTCACAAGAAAGGTTTCTCTGCTTCTCCTACAGCATAAAAGTTCTATCTTCCCCCTTATCCAACCGTCCATTCTGAATGAAGGGCTAAGATTGTCTCAATCACAATGTTATATGTCTTTACACTATTTTATTTTTAATTTTTTTTCTATACACTATTTTGACACCAAATTTTGGATGTCTATTCCTCTATTAAACTTGCACTAGTGAAAAATAATAAAAAAATATTTTCAATAAAATAAAATGACCAAAATACCTTTGAAAGTTTCAAGGGGTATTTTGGTCATTATATTTTATCGAAAAAATATTTTTAATATTTTTTATAGGTGCACCTTAATAAGAAGATGACATGTATCAAATTTCATATTCATGTAATTTATATGAAAAAAACTAAAAATAAAATATTTTATAATATAGGATTTAAGATCAAATAGGGAGTGATTCTCTTTATTAAAATTAGACGACTCGATGGTAGGAAGAGGATAGAATTTTTATGCGGTAGTGAAGCATAAAACGCTTGTCCTTTCCTCATTCCGTTTTTTTTCTCTCTCCAAACTTTTTTTTCGCTCTCTTAATTATCCAAAAAAATCTCTCTGTAGTCGATAGTAGACTTTCGCCATCCTCATTAATATTCTCACATAAATCTCTTGACGTCTGTATAATTATTTAAGATTCCGAGAGCCATGGAACAACCAATCTCCATTTGCCCACGCACGTGCCAGATTTGCCCCAGGCGATTAATTGGAAGGTGCTGATCATATTGGGACCCACGTTGCACGTGCAGCAAGACCAAATGGATGTTATCAATGACTGATATACCCCGCATCAATCCTTATATCTCCATATATAGCAGCGTGAGATTGGATATGTCAGAGAGGTATTTTCGTCAAAAATATATACTTAATACGAGTAGGCTCGTAGTAACGAGGGCATGGCGCAACCGACAAAAGGGCAAGGATATCCGTGTAATACTAATTATTGTTAGGGTTAAAATCCAGCAAGAGAATATTGGGGCGTAATTTAGGACATCATCATGAAAGAGTGGAGGAAATATAGCCCGCGCGTTAGTCCACTTTATGGATTTAATATAATACAAAATAACGTTATTGAAATCTTATAATGACTTGGAAATCTATTGTTTATATTTAATTATTAAATTTAAAATTATAAAATTAATAGATTGAATTAATTAATTAATATTAAAAATATTTAAAAATTGACAATCTAAATAATTAGTTACAAAATACATTGTTTTTCAACTTAAAATTATATTTTTCTTTGCGTCTATGGATCTCGAATCGCGACGATCATATATATGCTTCTCCAATATCTTAACACACTCTTATGTAGAATTCTCTAGAATTTTTGAGGTGTGATTCACTTCAATAGTATAAAGTTTCAACCTTGTATAATTTTCTTTAATTAAATAATTAACCATGGAAAATGCAAATGGCTCTCTTTCTACTAGAGCGGCCACCATGGACTCATTACTGCCACTCACAAATCTTCTTAATCTTTTCATTCTCTCTCTAACTTCACGAAAACAAAATTAATCTTCTCTCTCCTCTTAAACTTGCTAAAAACAAAAATAATCAAAGCAGTCAATACCTGTCATATATAATTCTGGAACGCAAGCCATCTTTTGAGTGTTGCAAGGAAAATGATGCGTTCCCTTTTACATTACACCACCTCTCTGTGTATCTGCTTTTCGTTTTCTTAGCTTTTTTTCTCTCTCTCCCTCACTGTTTCTGTATATCCGAAGCAGCCATGAATGGGTCCTTGAAATGGTGGAGCGCCTTCAAAAGATAGAGTGTCCATTTAGATAACTTGGGGTCTTGGGTTTGTTTTTGTGTGGTGAAGAAAGAGGTGGGGTTCTCTGAGATGGGTTCATTGGAAGAGTCTGAGGCTCAAAGCCTTAGAAGGAATGACGCAGGTGCTCCTCTGATAAAAAGGGGCTCTCTTTCTCGCTATTCTGAGCTGAGCCATCTGAGAAACAGTGATGAGAAGCTGCATTTGAAGCTCGTGTACAGATTGAGCAGGTTCTTATGGTGCGGCAAGATTGATTATGGTCAATTGATATGTATAATTCTCGCTTTCTTGTTTGTGGTTGCTTTGTTTCAGTCCTTTTTGCCTGGTTCTATTGGGTTGGAGAGGCCTAGAATCCACATGGGTTTTGACCACAGAGAGCTCCCATGGGAGTTTCAGTACTTGAAGGAGATGGAGGGGTTGAATTTTGGGGAAGGTGTGAAATTCGTGCCTTTGAAGGTTCTTCAGAAGTTCACGAAAGAAGAAAATGATGCAAATATGTCAGTGGATTCTATGAGACCGAGGATTCGTACCCCAATCCGAAGGCCACAACTTGCAATGGTAACAAGCAAATTGTAAATTGCTCTTATGGTTCCATGTTTTTCTTTTTGTTTTCTATGGAATTGGTTTGTGGAGTCTTTGTAGTGGTCTCACTGGTTTGAAAGATGAATTGCAGGTGTTTGGAGATCCATTGATGGATGCCACACAGTTGATGATGATAAGCATCACACTCTCTCTGTATTCCATGGGGTACGCTATTCAGGTACTTGGTTTCAACTTTTCTATGTTTTGTTTGGAACTTAGAAGTCAAATTCTGAAAAGAAGGCATCAGAATGCACTTTCTTGCGTTTGAAATTGTTTGATGAGATGCTGTTGGTGATTCTTGCTCTTGCGATTCTTTGAAAGGATACTGTTTGTAACTTCCTTGCTTGTGCAATTACTTGATAGGATACAATATGTTAATGGGTTTTCCTTTCTCAATGATCTCCTGTACCTGGTTGCTGCTCTTGATATCCTGGCTACTTTACATTTCATTTTCCTCCTTGGATTTAATTATTCACAGTTTGCAAAAATCGTACTTCTTGTTAATTACTAAAGGAATCTTTATTGTCCTTACGGGGTTGCTTCTGTTGTCGGAGTCTTGACCTCTTAGGTTTAGAATTGGCTATCCAAAGACGGACTCAGTTTTGATAAGGCTCTCTCTCAAACTGGCTTCTTTTTTTCTTCATTTGTCTTAGTTTGGTGGGTTTTCAGAACCACTGAGTTCAGAAGCCAATGGATTAGGATATTCAAAGAGAACTTAAATAAATTTTGATTCGGTTTTTTGTAATATCCCTTATGCATAAATTTTTTAGGGATATAGTTGTGGTCTTGGATCCTCGTGGGCTAAAACTTGTGGTTGTTTTCGGTTTCTTTATTACTCTGAAATTGGCTGATTAGTGGATTCTGCTTACTGTCAAGAAAGAACAGTTGCAAGGCATGTATAGAGGATACTTTGTTCAAAATTGATTGGGTTAACTTTGCCAAGGAACTCCAAGGCAAAATTTGAGTTCCCAAATAACTCTTTAATTCATTTAAATAAGAAAAACTTGGAATGATGGATCTATGTTGAAGCTGTTCCTGACATTAGAGGTGTTGTAAACCTTTCTATGTTGATTGAGCATATAGAGTAATTGATTGAATAGGCATGTTTCACTAACGATAGTATGTCATCTGTGATATGATTGGAATGCAGAACTGAATGAAAGAGAGGCATCATATGTCGTGATATCCCCAAGTAATGTTCTAGAAGGCTCAAGGGAGACTTGCATAAACTTTCTGCAGTAGTTATAAGGACATACTTAAAGTTTCCATAACAATTTGTATTGGTGATCCCACGCCGAGGATGACATAAAAAGTTTGAAAAAAATTCATCTGTTTATTTTCTTCCAGCCTCTTTGACTGGGAATACCACTTCATCCCTTAATGATTTTCTGATATCGCATGTGACCTTGTTGGTCTTTTGAATCTGGAGAACTTCTTGCTTTGTCCGACTTATCAAATAAAATGGAAAAAGATAAATAGAGAATGGGTATTGCTTGCTTCCTATACATGGCTGTGTTTACGGTCTGGGTCATTTGTCTCTCATTACTACAAGAATAAAAGTTATCCTTCTGCATAGTAGACTTGGAGTTTGTTATTATGGGATTGCCTTCCTTGCTTCCTACATTGTTTTGAAGAAGCCTTTTCATATGGCTTTCAATCCAGGAGATGGTTCTAATGAGTATCACCTTGGAGCCTACTGTACGTATGTCAAGTGGTGTGATTCTATTTTCTGATTCGTGTGAGTTATGAGTCAACCTTCACTAGAAGGCTGAATGTGGCTGCATTGGGTGTTATTTTTTTGCTGTTGTATTGTATTAATTTAGTATGGACTCTATGTTAGTTTCAGCTCATCTTTTAGATGGCTAAACATGATTGTCATTCATGGGTGCCTTTATATTTTCTATTGCCTATATTTTTGGGATGGTTTCTTTCAAACTACAGGAAGTTCTGTGATGTTTGCAATTTGTTTATGTCATGGTTTATATTTCAGCAGCAGTTACATGTGTCATGAATATACTAGTTATTGGTTAAGCTTTTGACAGATTAAATATTGAACATGCATACCTTTCACAAACGTGTCCTTCCCTTTTATGGACATAACTGTATTTCTTTTCATTAGAGGGATGACTTTTGCTTTGCCTTGATGTAGGTTTATTTTCTTGAAGATGGCCACATTCACGCTGCTTGGAAAAATATGGGGCTAAATGTGACTATTTTGCAAACTAGTAGCGAATCCAGAGTTGTTGTGGATTGGTTGAAGTAAGCGGACAATATCTGTTTTAAGTTTAGTTATTAAGCATTAGAACTAATTGCTTTGTTTCTTTTAATTCTTTATAATCTTTTATCATTATTGGGAATAAGTTAATGTGGGATGGATCATAATATTAACTATTTGGTTACTTATGTTGAATGCAGTTTTGATGGTGTTCTTGTGAATACCATTGAGTCAAAAGATGTATTGTCTTGGTGAGTATATCATTCTTACTCATTCAAATAGAACAATTCTGCCAGTCTGCTGTCTGGGTGTGAACTTTTATTTGCTTCATATTCTATGTTCTGGAATGTCTTCACTGAATGCTTACTCATATCTCATTATTTCTTACCATGTAATCCATGGAACCCTAGAGGTAATCTACTTTAATGGTCATTTTCTTTACTCCTGAAATTGGTTCATGCCCAGTGGATGATTCCAAAAGTCTCAACATGGATGCCAGTATAATTTTGTCTTTTAATAAATAAGTTTGGCATATTTTTGTTGTTTCCAATCAACTTGGAAGCTTTATGTTGGAGCTCCTCTTTCGAGACCTAGGCTTCCCAGGTTTTCCTAGTCCCTTGTTTCATCTAGAAGCTGCTTTTCTGACTTTCATTTTCTTATTTAATTATGACATTTTCCTACTTACCTAAGTTTTCAACTTACATTGCTTTCCAATATACAGAATCATATATTCGTTCCTAGCCCAGGGTTATCGTATTAGTAGATGAATCGTGCTCTCACAAACCCTTCAAATTCATTTGTTATTAAAACTTTCTGTATGACCTTCCTCATATTGTATTAGTGACCCTTTGAAGGGGCTATTCTATTTAATTCAAGCACCATTTCAGCTGAAAAGCTCCCATATCTATTATTTTTTATGTGGAATCGTATATCATATTTTGTGTGAGAATCTACCCTGAAGTATAGTTTTGGGCTTTTAACTAGTTAATGCATATTTGTAATATAAACCCTTTCAAGCTAATGGGAGTGCGTCAAGCAGTTACTTTTGATTCGTTAAAATCTTGACACTACTGCTGTTGTGGGGGATGGCGTTTCTATTGTGTATTCAAGTGGTTTGGTTCAATGGTGCAATGTGATACGATGTGTTTTGTTTTCCTAATTGGTCTCAACAAATAAAATACTCTCACTCATTTGTAGTATTAGATTGGGAACAACAAAAAAGGGAGGATCTTGGTACTAAATCTCATTCATTCTCTTGGATTTCGAAATTTTATTTCCACCAGTCCTGGTCCTTTCCTGTTTCATTCTTCCATGAGTTTTGGAATTTCTTATTGTTTCCTTCCTTTGTATATTGTTGTCTCAAACAAAGAAGATCATACTTGTAACAGTCTTATGCAGGAACCATTCAAATCCGTGCCTGTTATATGGACCATTCAAGAACGGGCATTAGCAATTCGGCTTAGCGAGTACACCTCAAATGGACACATGAAGCTTTTCAATGACTGGAAACAAGCATTTGAGCGAGCTACTGTGGTAGTCTTTTCTGACTATGATTTGCCGGTAATGTTTGCAAATGCATTATAATCCTGCTTGTTATATAATATGAACCCATATAAGCACCGAGGATGGTTTCTTTTTCTCATGGTCAGATCTTGACCAATGACTGTGGCTGAAATTTCTTTATTCAGATGATGTATTCCCCACTCGATTCAGGAAATTATTTTGTTATTCCGGGATCTCCACTTGAGCCATGGGAGGCATACAAGTTTATGGCCCTGTGCAAGGGGCACGACCTTCGTGCAAAGATGGGTTATCGGCCAGAAGATGTTGTGATTGCAGTAGTTGGGAGTCCATTTCATTACAATGGATCGTGGTTGGAACATGCATTGGTCATGCAGGCCATAGCACCACTTCTTTCTGACTTCAACAATGATGCTACCTCTGGTTCCCATTTAAAAGTCTCTATTATCTGTAGGAATTCCACAAGTACATACGATGTGGCTTTGCAGGTAAGATGTACATGTGAGTGTTAATAGAAGCATATCGACAAGCTATTTAAATTTTTTTTCTTGGTTTCAAATGGCTTTTTGTGTTATGGAAAGTAAAGTATTAGTCTTAAACTGTGCCCCTTAAAATTTTTAACCACGTGTCTTCCATGTGACTAAACTAAAGAGTGAAATGGTCAATACAATTATAAATACCTCCTGAACTCTTTAAATAACTCTTCATTTTTCTTTCACTTTCCGTGAAACGCATTCCTTTTTTTTTCCCCAAATTTTGTTGCTGAACTTAACCTCTTTTGTTTCCCTTTTTTCTTTTTTTTTTCTTTTACTGTTTAATCTTCTTGTTTCTCTACTTGCTTTTGGTTTTGCTTTCTCTTAAGGCTGTCTCCTATTTGTGGATGCTTCATTTGTGTTGTCTATTGCCATGTCCATTATGTCTTTTCTTCTACAGCATAAACTCATGTCAATTTAGTGCTCGCCAAGTTCTGCGTAAGTCTTTCAATTGTTAGGTTGGAGGTCTAGATTCTAAAAAAAGGTTAGGCAAACATGAGAAACAATTGTCAAATTTATGAACCATAGATGTGGGGAGCTTGGTTGAGGCTGGTGGTGATCCCTGTTGGTATCCAGCGATGCCGAGCAGAGCTTGCTCCCCGTATGAAGGGTTTTCAAGCCATATCTTATAGGGATCTTGATCCCTAACTGAAGGGGATCTTGATTGCCATAGAAAGGGGATCACGGCCCCACTGAAAATTGGGCGCTATCCTGGTTGTTAGGGATTTCAATCCCCAGGGGGGGTTAGTTTCAAAATTTTTGAATTTTGAAACTGGTTGTCTTTTTTTTTTGTGCGTTTTTTTTTTGTTTTTCTGATTGTGTAACAACCACCTTATTTTTCTTTTTCATTTTCATGGTCATGGTTTGCATCAGAGGTTGAAAACTGGTGATCTGACTCAGAACCATCAAGTTGGCTTTGACCTTGGAGGGTTCCTGGTCATGGATGATCTCAAATTGGGGAATTGCCCTGGTTGTCCGGGATTAGGCATTTCTTATTATAATGAATCCGCTTGTCTCTACTGGCTCACTTTAGGGACTTGGCAATTCCTTAGCTGGGTTCTCATCATGGCTCCCCAATCTCAATTTTCTCAAATTTTTATGGGACTTTTAGGCTTTAGAGTTCTGCTTGTGTGTAGATAATTTTGAAAAGTGAATTATAATTTTTTATCTTTAAATCACTTTAAAAATAAATAAATATCGGAAAAAATTTACAGAAGGCGTCAACTTTGTACTATAAGAATAAGTTGCACCCTAAAAACCATTGGAACCTTGTCCCCCTACTCAAAAATTTATTGTTAGCATAGATCCTCGGGGGTCTATATAAACCCCATGGACCGGCCTCCCAACACGAAAAATAGGTCGGATACTCCCCCAAGGTACCTCTTTAAAGTCCTTTTAACTATTTTGCTCTTGTTCTTCTCAAAAGTGACAATCTCATCCTCTCCTCCCTCCCCCAAAAAAAAAAAAAGGTGAAATTGTAATCTCAACTTTTCCTATGGACTCTTCTTACTCTCTCTCACTTTCAAAACCCTCTCTCTCTCTCTCCCTTTTCCAGCTGCTTTACCCCAAAAGTGTCTCTCTTCCCTCTCTTTCTCTCTCTATCACATCTGCATCACCCCAAAGCTGCCTCTCTCTCTCTTAGTTTCGCCCTTACCATACACTCTCTCGATATGTTCCCCCCCCCCCCAGGTTGTAGGAGAGGACATCAAGTGCTCTCTCGTCTCACCCACCCACCTGCCCCTAATACTAAAAAAAAAAAGACAGATTCACCCCTGCCCATACACACTCTCTCTGCTTTATTTTCTCTCAACAAGGTCGAGAGAAAGATTCAAAATTCCCTTGGTTGGTTGCAGGAGAGGAGATCAAGCTCTCTCACTCTCACTCACTCACTCTCTCTCTAAAACCAGGCTATGTCAAAAATAGAAACCTTGGCTTTATCCTGAGCATGTACATCACCATCCTCTCATTCCTTTATTTCTGCAATTGCAGTCAAAATTCACCCAGCTAATAGACCATAATGAATGGAGAAAATGTGAAGAGAAAATGATAGGGAACTCTCAATTGGAGAGGTATGGATTTGGTGGAATTTAGAGTACCCCTTTTGGGAATTTTGGAAGAGATTGTCGTTTTTGAAGAACAAGAACAAACTAGTAAAGAGGGCTTTGAAAAAGTGGCTTAAGCGGTATCTGTTCTATTTTTCATATTGGTAGTGGTTCCATAGGATTTGCATAGTCCTGATGGTCTATATAGACTACAAGTTTTTGAGAAGGGGGACTAGGTGTTTTCAAGTCCTAGAATAAGACATCTTAGAATAAATTATTTGGACATCCATTTTCAAGATTTTCAAATGCTTATAATTTACTTGATTTGCAATATTTTTGGATCTTTAAATTTCATAATTAGGGTTAGAAATAGATTTTATGGCCATCATAGGGGTTTCCAGCACCATAACTGCATCTTCCTGTAGGGTTTGGAGGTGAGCCTTAGTTTGATTGTTTAAGGTTGTGGTGTTATATAAACTGCATACATGCATATAAACTGCACAGACAAATATATAAGGCCAGCTCCTTGAACAATGTTCCTAGGCATTCTTCAGGTATGGAGCTTTAGTGATGGTTCGATGCTTCGGCACCCATTCCTACTCTTAACACCTATATTAGTTGTTAGGAGCTGCTAATGTGAAATTTGAGAGTTATCTTGTCGAAAGCAATTTTGTACCCTTATAATTCACTTATGATCTATGAATATTTTCTTCATCTCTTCCCCTGCCCATTCTTCTATGTAAACAACAAAATTGCTCTCCCATCCCATTTTGTTAGGGCTTAAATATAACATGCCACTCTCTTTCATCTATTTATAAGTGTTTTTTTCATTTTCATGGGCAATCTGGTATTTATGTGAAAAACTATAATATAATCCCTAATCCCTTAGTGACTGATCAAACACTTTGATTTGTTAGTTATGTGAATATTATGCCTATACAATGTTGACTTTGGTAGTTATCCTTTTTCATCGTGATTATGTGTCATAATTTATCCATTTCTTTTGCCTTTTTATTTAGATTTATCTGCATTATTTGATACAACGTTACACTATTGTGTTCTCTTCCATTATTTATCCTTGTTTCTGTGCAACACACTTGTCTGATGTTAGTTTCTGCTTATTCACTCAAAAAAGTAAGTCATCCATTTTTGATGGTGAGGTCTGAGGTCTTGTGTGGGAACTAACTGCATATCATGTTATAGATGCCATATGGGTGTCAATTCTTCACATACCAAATAAAGAAAATTGAGAAAGATGTTTCTCACAATGAATGGATCCAATTTTGCAGGCCATTGCTCTTCGGTTCGGTTACCATCAGGATAATGTTCAACGCATTAGCAGTGATGGGGATGTAACTTCTTTTCTTGATATTGCTGATATTGTGATATATGGATCCTTTCATGAAGAGCAATCCTTTCCTGCTATTTTGATTCGTGCTATGTCCCTGGGGAAGCCAATTATAGCTCCCAACATCTCCGTTATCAGAAAACGTGTCGGTTCTCTTATCTAAGATAAATTAATGCATAGACATATACATACATACACAGTTACAACCATCTACATGTGTACATACATACATACATACATACATACATGCACGCATACATGTGTGTGTGTGTGTGTGTGTGTGTTTGTGTCTCTATACATATATATATCTATATATGTATGTATGTAGGCACAAATAATGATAATGGTCGGTGTGAAACTAAAGTTTTATTATGTAAGTGCTTATGTATTATTGTGGTGGTAGCACCACTTGTGCCCCAACTAAAGTCCTGGCTTCTATTCTCACCTAACGCATTAAAAAACCACTAGCGATTTCAAAAAACGGGTAGGGGCTCATCATCCCCACTGAATTACCCAAAAAAAAAAGGGGTCAGTTCAGGCTGCTAATTTACTGATATGATTTGTGCAGGTTGAAAACAGGGTTAATGGTTTTCTATTCCCAAAAGAGAATATCCGTGTGATCACGCAGATTCTACGTCAAGCTTTATCTAATGGGAAGCTGTCACCTTTAGCTAAAAATGTCGGATCCATTGGAAAAGGAAATGCAAGGAATTTAATGGCTTCAGATGCTGTCAAAGGTTATGCTGATTTACTTCAGAATGTCCTGAAACTATCATCAGAAGTTATGCTTCCCAAAACTATTAGTGAGATTCCTCAAAATTTAGAGGAGTGGCAGTGGAATCTAGTGGAAGATATGGAAAGCCTAATTTATTGGAATAAAAGTACGAATGGTTCTGATTTTCTATATCATATTGAAGAGCTCTATTATCGTGATGTTGTTGAGGGTTCTAATAACACCAGCAAAGTAATTGATCAGGTGTTCTCCTTAACTGACTGGGAGGAAGAGAAATCCATTGAGATGGTCAATGCAAAAAGGAGGCGAGAAGAAGAACAGGTAAACCCTGTTTTTTAGAAAATGTGAGAAGTAAACCATGTAAATATCTGACTTTTTATTTGTATACTGGTTGCCTTCCTTTGAGATTTGTACACTGAATTTGCACCTAGAATTAGAATCTAAAATTATCTCGCAAGAATGCCAGGTAGTCTAAATTTACTTGTGTGCATTAACCTTTGTAGTGAGTGCATCCATAAGTACTTTGGTTCTAATGCTGGACTAGTTTAAACTTGTACATTAATGAAAGTGTGAACTTGTAATTCACAACTTTTGGAGATTCATGCAGTTGAAAGATAGAACTGATCAAACTCGAGGAACTTGGGAAGAAGTTTATCGGAGTGCTAAGAGGGCAGACAGGACCAAAAATGAACTCCATGAAAGAGATGACAGGGAGCTGGAGAGAACAGGACAGCTCTTATGTATATATGAACCTTATTATGGAGAGGGTACCTGGCCTTTTCTGCATAACAAATCACTATATCGTGGAATTGGGCTAGTGAGTATTTTCTTATTCAAAGATTTTCTTATATTCAATGACAACATTGAATTTGAATCCCTTTTTCCATTGAATCCCTTATGTATATATGAACCTTATTATGGAGAGGGTACCTGGCATTTTCTGCATAAATCACTATATCGTGGAATTGGGCTAGTGAGTATTTTCTTATTCAAAGATTTTCTTATATTCAACGATGACATTGAATTTGAATCCCTTTTTCCAATGGAGATCCACCTTTAGTGCAAATTCTTTAACCTTTTTGCTATTAATACTGTGTGTTTCCTGGGTTGCTACTTTCGCGAAGTTCACATAGCAACTTTTGGGTGGACTCCTGGTTGATTTTTAAGCACACACACACCTATTTCCATGCACAAACAAGAAACAAGGTAGTCAAGATTAGTTGTATTTTGCTATAAACTAAACATCGAGGAAGGAATGACATAGCTAATTTAACTCTTTTTTCCTGGGTATGAAATTTTCCGGTCGTCGAGTGTTGAATCGTAAGAGAAACAAGATCTTGATTACATGATATCTATTCAAGAAGCTATATATCAAAACAGAAAAAAGTAAATTATTTCTCAAAAAAAAAGAAGGTAAAATTGCTCCATTTTGAGAATCTGATAACTTGGGTTTGAGCAAGGGGACAAGGATAGATTCTGTACATGCTGCACTAAGGATCATCTCCTAGTCTTGTTGGCTGCTTCTTACACCCAAAAGACTTGGAAAATTCCTACTTCTCGTCTGTTGGCATTTCTTCCCTTTTGGAATCTGGGGTATAAGGCCAAATATTGTATAACTAAATGCCCTGTTGTCTGTTGAACAATGGGGTGCAATGGTACAGTTCCTTCATAAGTTCACCTTATATCCCAAAATGTGGAAAGATCAAAAGAAATGAAATAATAGTTGTCCATAGTGTGGGAATGTTAGTTTTACAAAATTAGATATTGTTATGGTGTGTTGCAGTCTACTAAGGGTCGGCGACCTGGGGCGGATGACATAGATGCTCCCTCCCGTCTTCCTATTCTGAGCAGTCCATACTACCGAGATGTTCTTCGTGAATATGGGGCCTTCTTTGCAATAGCTAACCGCATCGACCGTATACACAAGAATCCATGGATAGGGTTCCAATCATGGAGGTTGACCGTGAGGAAGGTATGTGCTGGGACCTACAACCCTTATTAAAGAAACAAATGACTTTTTATTTCATTTGATGGTTTTTTGGATTGACATGAATTTTTCGGACACTTAAAAAAATGTCTTTTCAGACTGGTAAACAATGCCTGATTTTGTTGCACTAGTCTGTTTTTGATTTATTTAGATGTTGTGAACAATTTATTTGAATTCTTTGATATTTTCTCTTAATTTTAATCTAAACATATTGTTTATTAAGTTTATGTATCATGAAGATGGCTGAGTGAAATAAGTTTTATACAGATTAAAAGAGATGGTATTTTTATATGATGGTGTGGACTGATGTATCTGGATGTACTCTAAAATTCCCTTGGAATTTTTAAGTCGAATGCCTTAATTTAAACATTGTCCTAATTAAGAGATCCAATATTTTGAAATGAATTGGTGTAATTGTTTAGACTTAAATGTCCACTTTGTGGGCTTCCACGATTGTATGTTAGGTTTGCTGATCATTACTTCTCTAATTGGCATCATGCTCACAATCTTGCACCAAATCTTCCATTCTGATGCCATGAAACTTCTTGATTGGCAACCATGAAGTGATAGAGGCCTTAACTTGCAATATCAACTTCCGGATGTGTGTGTTGCCTCGTATTCCCCAAAGGATTGCTAAGAGGTATACCTTATAGAGATACATTGTTTTCCAAGAAAAAGGATGAATTATCAGTCAGGAAGAGTTGCTATTGTTGATGGGATCACATAAAATGCACTAAGCAGATCATGGAGTTCAAGATCAATCCTTCAAATGCCAAATATTAAGGTGATTGGTGGTGTCCTTTGTTTTGGCTTATTTTTATGTTACAATGCTTGGCGGATCGTATAATGGCAAACCCGTACCAAAAGTCCAAAGGATGGGTATCCGGGCCTCACTGTACCCAAAAGGACTTGGAATGTAGGGTAGATGATGCTTCCCAGACAAAAAGAGGCCAACAGATTGCGAATACACAAGGCCGTCAACCCTGATATAATTTCCACGCCATATACACTAGCAATCTGCTGGAAATATGTGAAGTGGTAGTCGGGCCCCAAAACAGACACACTTTGGGCCCCAACTTGGGGAATCCTCATTTTTGATAATGGAGGTCCCTACGTATAAAGGCCATGAGGTTTGGAGTCATTTATGGCCTAAATCTTTCATGGAGTGCATAATAAATGACGGTGGTGAAAACCCATGAAAATGGATGCAAAATGGCTCAACATTGTGCACAAATTTAGTCCAAAGTACCCCTAAGATATCCCAGAAATATCAGTGCAAAACGATGTCGGATGGAGAAGATGTAGCGAAAATAATCTGTGTATCATGATACACAACCTATGGAACATAGAAAAGAGAACAAATTTACAAAAGAACCCCGAAAGTTTCACAGATGAAATTGGGTTATTGAAAAACCTACTCTCCGAAGTATCATGTCATTGTGACAATATTGGGTTACGTTTACTAGAGAATTGGGGATTGAGTATACTATTGAAAAATATTTTTTGTGCTCCTTCAAAAATAAGCCCAAAAATCTTCAAAATCAACAAGTTTTGGCAAATTTCCATAAGCTGATTTCTTCCAAACCCTATGGAGGTTGATCTAGGGATCGGCTATGTTGTTGAATGCTTCATAAGCTTTCCGACAAGGTGCCTATTTGGGGGTATCTTTCCTTGAAAGATGATGAAATTCTAGAGAGTAGTTCAATACTTTTTGATGAAACTTGTTGGATTGGGTTCGTGACTTGACAGGTCTTTTGTTGACATACAGAAAGCGACCATCAAGGTAATAAGGATGATGGGCAAAAATGATGGGGTTTTGTGTCCTATTTTGAAACCTTGCTGTAAATTATGGTTTTAGCGACTTTCAATCCTCATAACTCACTTGATATAGAGTTTTTCAGTGATTTTTTATGCAAAACGACCATGGGATTGAGCTCTTCGATTTCATGGTGCCTAAGAATAACGAAGTTCGGCAAAACTCCTACAGGGCAAAGGAAAAATGGGTATGTAAAGCTGAATTTTGGAAAACCCATCCTAAAATGGCCCAAAACTCCACCACATCCTGGGTTTTTGAGTCAAATATGATGCATAATGATCGTGTCAGCATGCACTACAGTGTGGGGGTGATGGATCACCTGTTTCAATACTGGAAATGAAGAAATAAAAGCACCATGCCATAGGGATGGATGGAACCAAGGTTTTAGGGGGTATGTGATGGAATTTATAACTTTGTTGGCCTACCAAAACTACCCTTTTGAATTTGGACGGAAATAAAAGTCAGTAATCCACCTACCTATTCTCTCAAAAAGTTAGTAATCCGCCCTTGTTTCGAAGCCCACTAAGGATCGCTTTAGGGGATTTTCACATTTGCTTAGATTTGAGTTTAGGAATTCTAAGTTGAGAAACCCTAGGTAGAAAGAACCCTAATCGCTGTCCTAACCTTAGTTATTTCTGTGCACTAAATCCTAAAACTAGCTTAGCAAATTTACCGAAATACCCAAGGAAATTCAAGCAAAGCCAAATTAGTCCAAACTCTTAGGCCTTTGTAAGAGAGAGAATAGGGCACAACTCCCCATCTAACGCTTAAAGCCTTAGTGCATAGTAAGGGTTTGGCCAGTATGTTACCCACCTTTTGGGAGACCTTGTGTGTGCTTTTGATTTTGACTTATCACATTTTCTTGGAGTCAAAAAGAAAAAAATTTAACAGCTTGACGCACATAAGCACGATTGGGCAGGAGCATCCTACACATCTTTGCACCAATGCAATGATAAAGGACATGCAAATTTCATTTTATATATGATTCCTATTGTTATCTTCCTTATTGTTCCCATTTAACTAAAGAGAAGTGCCCTTGCAGTAGTTGGGACACTCTAGAGTAGTCCTATTAGAGACCAATGAATGAAAATTCAGCTCTTTAGCCTCCTAGGCGGCATTTTTTAAAAAATGCCTCGTCGTGGACTAGGCGGCTTTTGCTAGGCGCCCAAGGCGGTGCTGTAAAAAGCGGGCGCCATGGTGCCAACTTGAAAATATGATAATTAAGTCGTAATTATTAATTTTTGGTTTACCAATAAATTAATAATTACTATCATATGCAAAAGGCATTTCCGATAAACTAATAATTACGGATTAATACTATCGTTTAGTTTACCAATAAATTAATAATTACTGTTACATAAAAAAAAATATTTTTGATAAATTGATAATTACGAATTAATACTAATTTTTTGGTTTACCTATAAATTAATTATTATCACATGCAAAAAGTATTTTTGATGAATTAATAATTATAAATTAATACTATTTTTTTGGTTCACCAATAAATTACTAAATATTGTTACATGCAGAAAGCATTTTCAATAAATACTTAATTTATAATTATTGATTTATCGAAAATTCTTTTTGCATGTAACAGTAATTATCAATTTATTAGTAAATCAAAAAATAATATTAATCCATAATTATTGATTTATCAAAAATGCTTTTTGCATGTAACAATAATTATTAATTTATGGGTAAACCAAAAAATAATATTAATTTGTAATTATTAATTTATCAAAAATGATTTTTGCATGTAACAATAATTATTAATTTATTGGTAAACCAAAAAATAGTATTAATTTGTAATGATTAATTTATCTAAAATGCTTTTTGCATGTAATAATAATTATTAATTTATTGAGAAACCTAAATATAGTATTAATTCGTAATTATTAATTTATCGAAAAAATGTTTTGCATGTGATAGTAATTAATTTATTGATAAACCAAAAAAATAGTATTAATTCATAATTAGTATTGTAAAATATATACAATAAAATGGGGGGAGGTGTGGAGGATCCAACATTTAAAAAAAATACAACACAGGACGCCTTTGGGTCTGGGCGCCCGCCTAGGTGGCAGTCTAGAGCCCAAACCGCCTTGGCGGCTGCCTACGCCTTTTTGAACATTGGTAGAGACATTTTCACTCCCCCACGCTATGAGGCATAAAATAACGACTTAATCAAGAACATCAATAAGTTATGAAACTGCTATATTCTCCCAATAATTTCTTGAGCAAGTCTCGATCAAAAGGCATGCATGTCAATCCTGATCCATCGATTAGTAGCTTCTATGCCCGGAGTTACTCATCAATAAGTTATGGAATTGCTATATTCTTCGAATAATTTCTTGAGTTAATCCTGATAAAAAAGGCATCCATCAAAAAGGCATCATGCAGCTACGAGGCTAAATTTGAATCTGACCTGTCTACCCCGGGTAGGAGAAGCCCATTGGATGGGTAGTGGACTTGTTCTTTGCCGGCATAGAAGCGATGGATTGCACCCAGTGTTTCAAAAAGCGCTAGGCGGCACCCAGGCGGCCATGGGGGTCTAAGCTGCCCAGTGCCTAGGCGGACCAGTTGAAAAAAAAAGAAAAATGATGACTGATAATGATTAATCCATAAGAATTTTGATAATCCATAAGACCATAATCCATAAGAATTTTGATACTCCATAAGACCATAATCCCAGTTAAAAAAAGAAAGGATAGAAGTCCAAAAGAGAATTTTGATAATCCATAAGACCATAATCCATATATTCATACAATGCTAAAACAGTAAAACCATACAAGCATCAAGGTTAGGCGGCCCCTAGGCGGCCTCCCTGGTGCCCAGCGCCTTGGCGGGTGCCCAAAACCTCGAGCACCTTGTGGGGCAATAAGTTTAGAGATTGAGGGTTTCATTTTTTTTTTTTTCACTTTGGGGTTTCAAAAATAAACCCATAACATTTTTATACAGACTGGGGGTCAAAATGACCGCCTTTGCCCTTTTGGGTGAATTTAAAAATCGAAAAACGCAGTACAACTTTGGGCTCAGGTACAACCGCCCATGTAGGGCCCGCCTGGGTCGAGGCATGCGGTTTTTTTGTTCAAGCCGCCTAGGCTGATACCCTTGTCAAGCATACACTGATAGTCTGATACACTGTAGACTGTACACACAAAAGTTAGAT